AATAAGGAAAGTAGATTAAGGCGAGTTTCACTCAGCTCGTCTATATAATAAGGTAAGTAGATGAATACGAGCTTCGCTCAGCTCACCCTTTAACAAGGGAAGTAGATGAATACGAGCTTCGCTCAGCTCACCCTTTAACAAGGGAAGTAGATGAATACGAGCTTCACTCAACTCACCCTTTAACAAGGGAAGTAGATTACTATGAGTTTCACCCAGCTCACCATTTAACAAGGGAAGTAGATTACTATGAGTTTCACCCAGCTCACCCTTTAACAGGGAAGTAGATTACTATGAGCTTCACCCAGCTCACCCATTTAACATTAATATCTTAATATATCAAAATGATAATGAATTATTTGAAACAACTAATCTAAGTAGGAAATACTTTATTAAAGCTAAAGTTGATAACAAGGCTATTGAAGACATTCATTCATAGAGAATGAAACAATTATTGAAACTAGAAGTATTAGCAAAAACAAATAATAAATTGAGATTAAACTGGAATTGTTTACTGATAAAATTTCTTCAGATGCTTAACATTCCATGGGTGAGGCAGTGGATTTCCCTCTAAGTCCTCCAACCAGTATGTTCTTGGTCGCTGACGTTATGTAACTTTGTAAGGCCCTTCCCATTTAGGACCCAGTTTCCCTATGGTTGAATCCTTAGTTGCTTGAGTAACTTTGCGGAGTACTAAATCTCCTACTGAGAACCTACTAGGCTTAACCCGAGCGTTGTAATACTTGGAAACCTTCTGTTGATAGGCAGCCATCCTAATCTGGGCTTAGTCTCTCCTTTCTTCGATTAGGTCCAAGCTTTCTTCCAACTCCCTTTCGTTCTGCTTGGGCTCGTAGTGCTCCATCCTAAAGCTTGTTAGGCCAATTTCTACAGGTACTACTGCCTCACTTCCAAACGCTAAAAGAAAAGGGGTTTCCCCTGTGGGAGTCCTTGAAGTAGTACGGTAAGCCCACAGTACACTCGGCAGCTGTTTAGGCCATAGTCCCTTTACAGCGTCGAGTCGAGTCTTTATCATCTAAAGGATTGTTCTGTTAGTGACTTCGGCCTGTCCATTCTCCTAGGGATGTCCTGGTGATGAGAAATGAATTTGAATCCTGAGCTCAGAACAAAAATTTTTGAAGTCAAAGTTATCGAACTATTTTGCATTGTCTGTGATAATCACTCTAGGAATCTACAAACTATTAATTTCCACACGAACTTCCTTATATTGTTCTCTGTGATCTTGGCCAGAGGCTTAGCTTCTACCCATTTAGTGAAGTAATCAACCATAACAATGGCATACTTAGTCTGCCCTTTGCCCTTGACGAGAGGGCCCATGAAGTCCATTCCCCATTGAGCAAATGGCTATGGTCCTGACATGGGAGTCATCTCCTTTGACGGTTGTCTCGGAATATTGGCAAATCGTTGACACTTGTCGCACTTTTTAACAAAGTCAAATGCATCTTTATGCATGGTGGGCCAATAGTATCCTTGTCGGATGGCCTTGTTAGCAAGTGACCTACCCTCAGCATGGTTTCCACAAACTCCTAGGTGGATCTCCCTTAAAATGTAATCAGCTTCCTCGTTAAAAACACATCATAAATACGGCATGGAAAAGCTTCTCTTGTAGAGCACCCCTTTGATAAGCGTATACCTAGCTGCCCACATCTTGACCTTTCGAGCTTCTACTCGGTCTATTGGTAGCACCCCATCCTTGATATATCTGATGATAGGATCTGCCCATTCCACACTCAATATCGCTTGTTGTACTTTAATTTGTCTCTCCTGAGATATAGATGGTTCATCCAAATATTCCAGTGGTATAGTCTTATTGATCTCAAGTTCCAATGCAGTAGCTAACCGGGCTAAGGCGTCTGCTTTCCCGTTCTCTTCTCGTGGTATTTAATGAATTGAGAATCTTTGGAAGTGATTCTTTAATTCCTCCACCTTTTGTAGGTAACTCTTCATCTTCTCTTGGTGTAGGTTATATAGACTATTTTACCCTTGGTGTTATCGGGTCAAGTCGGGACCCGGTTAGCAATCTGGACCCCAAGTTTGGGTTGTTACAGATTTGGTATTAAAGCGTGCTTCGAAAACCTTTCAGACGACGGGTAGAAGTTTGACTTGCATTGAATGCATGTTTTGTGCTTAAATGTTTATGATTTTGAGAAACATGCTTACTTACTAAGTGCTTAGGGGTTTAAATGTTGGTATATGTTAAATGTATGGCTATGTGAATGAAAGGATGACTTGATTCATGAAAATAATTAGTCGTTTAAAGTATGATCTTTTAACTACGTATTTATATGCTAAGTTGTTCGTTAATGACAAAAGCATGTTATTTGCGATTAAATGGCAAATAGTGAGCATGGTTTATGCAAGCATGTTATGCATGGGAAGATGGTGAAGATTAAAGTGATGTTTAATTTCACATGATGATTTAATTATTACGAAATTTAATTAAATGTGATAGGATACGATTGTTAAGTTGTATGTCCCTGTTATGGTATGCAAACATGTGTGTATAGACATATGTATATATAAATATATACATATGGTATATATACATATGGTAGGGTGCCTGTTGGGATGTAACTTACCATGTGGGCTATGATTTGAGTAGACAGGGAGCTTGATAGCTCCAAGGGTTGTTTGGGTGCTAGTTCTTATTGAACGAATGGCATAGGTTTCTACCTCGTGGATTGAGCTATTGGGTACGTGGTTATTCCAGTCTTCTTATTATTTTCATAGTGTGATGCTTAGGGCACACTACAACAAATTTAGTCTTTAGCGACAAACGAATTTGTCGCTAAAAGTACATATTTTGTCGCGATAACATTATCGCAACAAAAAAAAAATTTGTCACCCAATTGTCGCTAGAAGCCGGTCACAATATATTTTTTTATGACAAATGTTGATTTGTCGCTGGAGGTGAGATATATTGTGACAAAATATTTTTTGTCACAAAATGAATAAAAATTGCGACAAAATATTTGTCGTAAAATATCCAAAAATTGTCGCCTAAAAACCTCCACACCTATAAAATTTGTCGCTGTTTGCTACTATTTTGTGACAAAAGCAATTTTTATCACTATATGTATAATCTTTTGTGACAAAAGTTGTCGCTATAAGCTATTTTATTATGACAAAACTTTTTGTCACAATATATATCCTATGTTGTGATAAAAATATTGTCACTATAAGCTACTTTATTGTGACAAAACCTTTTGTCACAATATATATCCTATGTTGTGACAAAAATATTGTCACTATAAGCTACTTTATTGTGACAAAAGTTTTGGTCACAATATATATAACATGTTGTGACAAAATTATTGTCGATATAACTAGATTTATTGTGACAAAAATTTCGTCACAATATATAGGGAGATGTTGTAACAAAATTAATTGTCGCTATAAGTTATTTTATTGTAGCAAAATTAGTCGTCGCTATAAGTTCTTTTATTTTGACAAAATTATTTGTCGTAATATATATATTATGTTGCGACAAATACATTGTCACTATAAGGTTAAATATTGTGACAAGGTATATATCATGTTGCGACAATATTTTGTCACTATAAATATTGTTTTATTGTGACAAAATATATCTTTTGTCACAATATATCTATCATGTTATGACAAATATGTTATCACTATAAGTTAAACATTGTGACAAAATAATATATAGTGCCACTAATACAATAATATAATTTTGTTTTTACCTATTTGAAATTTGGAACCTATAAATTATATTAAAATATTAATAAACTAAACAATCTAAACCAAGATCTAAGCATATCACTCAAAATCAATATGTTTGATAATCAAACATAGAAGATAAAACACATATTCCATTAAGAATTTAGATATTAAAATGTGCAAATTATCTAAAATGATAATTTCAGCATATATCAAAATGCTATAAATTCAATATTACACAATGCTAATTGCAAAAACATATCAAAATCCCAAAAGAAATCTGAATCCAAAAGGGGAGCTAGATTTCAATCAATGTGAAACCTGCAAAAAAATAATAATAATAAATAAATGAGATTTGAATTTAAAGATTGAAATAAAATTTTAAAGATTATTTTAGAAAACTTGATATCCTGGTGAGAATACACTACAAGAAAATAAGATTTTTATAACCTGTAATTAATGACATGCATAAAAAGTAAGCTTTGTTAAGTACTAATTTAAGCCTCATGTACAGGTAGGATATATATATACATAGCAAAAACTTACTATTTAAATGAGACTTAAGGTCTAGGAAAAAAAAAAAAAACATATATATAAATTCCAAACAAATTTGTATAATTAATGATTTTAGACTATAAAGTCTACAAGTCATTTGAGTGGTTCAGTTGAATTTAAAATTATTAGATTGATCAACTTGATAAAAATGAGATTTTACTCCTCGTCTCAACAAATATATATATATACTTTTTATTTTTTAACTATTTTAAAATAAAAGTCAAATTTTTACATCATTTTTTATAATGATATTATTTTAACTTTCCTACATTGAATTTATAAAAAGTAAATCATCACTGGTATAACTATATCTTGTGTATACACACTACAACATATAAGGCTTTCACCAACGCTCAAAAGCGCTTGTAAAAACCTGAAAAAGCACTGGTAATTCAATTACCAACGCTTTACCAGCGCTGCTGGAAAAGCGTTGGTAAATCCAGCGTCGATAGAACTTTACCAACATTTTTTCAAAAGCGTTGGTAAATACCATTTACCAGCGCTTTTTGAAAAAGCGATGGCATAAGGTATTTACCAACACTTTTCAAAAAGCGCTGGCAAAGACCATTTACCAGCGCTTTTTGAATAAGTACTGGTAAAAGGTCATTTTATTTATTTTTTTTTTTCCTCTTTACCAGCGCTTTTTAAAAAAGCGCTGGTAAAGGGTCATTTTTTTTTTTTTTTTTTTTGTCATTGTTTTTGGAAAAATATGCTCACAGCTGCTAAATGACATCCAATAGTTACACAAGTGAAAATCAAGAGTGCATGTTAAAAACAATAAAGAAATAAATTTTGAGTGAGATTACAATTACTCGTACAAATATGATTATTATTATTATTATTAGTAATAATAATTATAAAAAAACAAAAAAAAAACACGCACACACACACACAATAGTCCAAATGACATATAGAAGCATTAAGAACCAACCAAAATCAATCAGAAAGCCACAATCTTTTCTGCCAATTAACTTGCATACAAATATCACTTGATATTTACAATTACTCGTACAAATATGATTCCTTCTCCGTCCCTTCTCTGCCAATACAATAAAGAACTTGGCGGGTTAACATCTCTAACACAGTGCATCCAAGGCTCCATATATCAGCCGCAAGCCCATAGCCGCCACGACTCTTAACAACCTGCCAATGCATGTCTAATGTATTACAAAATAGAGACAAGTATGCCAGAGGCATTCTATGGGAATCATATTTATAAAAAGGTAACTTTCCTCCACAGAAAACTGAAAAACCAAATGAGTAACATACCAATCAGCTCATGTATGAATAGAAAAAAATTGTAACATGCACTCATGTACTATGAAATGTATTTTATGACAAAATAAATTGTAACAGTTGTGCTATGAAATATAAGCAGTCACACCAACCAAATAACAAATTATGAGTCATTGTAGACATAGTTTTTCTCTGTAAACTGAACTATGAAACTGTTTTATTTGAATTTAATCTATTTGCATTTCAAAGAAGTGTTTCTTTCATTCAACAAGACACTACAAAGAAAACATAATGGACCATAAAATTCTACCATCATGAAAGGCCATAAATAAAATAAAATAATTTATAGATATTTCCTGAGCCAGAATAACTTGCCATCAGGGGGGAAAAAAGGTCAAAGATCTGGACTAAACCAAACAAATACAGCTTGGAAGAAAAATTGGAAAAAGATAAAGAAAACAAGTGAAGAAATAGAGAATTAAATTAAAAAAGAGAATTAAATTTCTTACCCACAACAAAGTCAGTGAAAGACCAATACTCTACACCCAAAAGATAAGCACACAGAAAATGTTGGCGTGCAAGATTAGACCAAATTCGAGAGCAAGATTGAGTACAAGATTCTATAATTACTCTATTAGAATATGAAAACAAAAACAAGTGGTGGGGGTTGATTAAGATATGATTGGTATAAAGAGTAAAGAACAAGAACATCAAATATATATAGATATAGATATAAAGACACAATATATTGAAAAGAATACAACCAATGAGAAGGTAAAGTTTTGAAATATAATCTACAGTATATTGAAGAAAAGAAGAGAACCCATCAATTATAGTTAAGTTTTGAAATATAATTTTATTTTCACAGTATTTTTCAGGGTACTCAAATAGAAGAATTTGATTGGTACAAAATCTAGAACAAAATGCCTACCGAATGCCTATCTAATTATATTTAGGAGATGCAATATTTAAGTATTTATGCGTTAAAGATCGAGATTGCAATGTGATATATATATATATATATATATATATATATATATATATATATATAACACATATATAATTTGATATATGTGGACATGAAACACATATACTTATGGTGAAAGACATAAGTATGAAGGATCACATGATTCTGTCTTCCAACTAATGATCAAAGATTAGGGGACCAGAAAATCACCGAGTAAACTAACACTAGAGAGCTGAAAACAAGACTTAACTATCCAAATAGCCACTAAGCATGCAACCAATTTCATATATGAAATGCACACATTAACATACATATAGAAATCTAGGGAAAAAAAATATGAACTTGGATTATGATATTACTGGAATAAGAAGTCAAAGCAACCACCCACCAATAAACAAAGTTGTCAACTTGTAAGCCCTCTACACAAACTTCATTCATCAGTAACCCACCAAAATCATGCTATAAAAAAGAAAAATAATATGAGATTTAATCAAATGAGATATCAAAACTTAAACCTCATGAATTTTTCTAATTCGGCCATTTTTATTAGATACAACTCAAAAATAAATGTTTGGTCATAATTTTGTTGATCTGCAAGAACTGAAAATTATATTAGTAAAGATAACTCTAATTTTATAAAGATGACTAATAATTCCAGAAAAATATATTCTGGTAAGGCATCAGAACAGTTAATCTAACTCATGACAAATATAGTTTTGCTGGGAATATTTGAAAACAGAAAGAACCAGAGCGAGTGATAATTAATTGTTTCAAATAAGACGTGAATATTGTTGCCAAACTACAATGAATAGTACTATACTGAAACGTGAGATCCCCTAAACCACAAGTAACATTCACACGTCTCGCTGAAAATATAGCACTCGGAAACAAAGAAAGAACCTGACCAACGAGGTAGTTAGCGGAATCCACCAGAAAAACTTGCATATAGTGTCATTTGCATATCTATCAATCTCATTCAATCATTGCTTAACATTGTTAAAGCTCTCCATCTCAATGACATCATAGACAATTTGTTGCAAATCTCAGTTCATGTAAAATTCTTTGCAAGCTCAAAAGAAAAAGGGTACTTGGAATCATCTTCATAAGCTTTATTGCCACCACCAACATTATATAAAAGAAAGTGAGTTCCATAGGTAGTGACTCAAAAAGGGTCTGTGATGCATAAAAAAAAATGGTCAAAAGCAATTGATAAACCATTTAAAATCTTGAATCAAAAAGGGTTTGTGCTGCATAAAACAAAAAAACCCAAACTACAGAAATAAAGCATGCCATAAGACTCCAATCCCAAACATTTTGAGCCTTATATATCGAATATAATATCATCTATATATATATACATACATATAGCATGTACGGATAGTACCCATAATATAGCAAAACATATATACATAAATTTTGATCCTCAAGATTCCAATATATATGTATCTATATATGAAACAAATTGTCAAAAGCAATTGATAAATATATAATAATCGAATGCATTTGTTAAATATCGAAAACCATTAAAAATCTTGCATCAAAAAGGGACTGATGCATACCATTTAAGAGGAAAAATTATAGAGCTTGATTAGTTGATTTAGAAGAAAAAAAAAAATTAAAACAAAACCCATACATACAAGTTAGCAGTTGCAAAGAAAGAGGGGGGCAAGCTTGAGAGTTGAGAGACAGCGGGCCAGCAGTTGAAGCTTGCGAACGGCGAACCCGATCTGGAACAGCGAGCGATGGAAACAGAAAGATATGGGTTTAGATTTTCTTTAAATTTTTTTTTTTGTTCCCTTTAGAACCCAAAACCTAGAAGACACAATACCAAAGACCCAGCTGAAATTATGAAATATTAGCCAATAAAAATTTACCATTTTCTACCAAAAACTCACATTTTAGATGTATATGAACACATATGTGTCTATAAATTTGATGATGATGATGATGATAAGGGCAAAGGACAAGACCAAGAGGTGTACCTGATGGGCGATTTCGCCAATGACTCGTCAGAGAAGTGGAAGAGCTTCACTCGCAACGCAGACCAACTTCGAATCGGCTACAAAGTTGAGACCGAGAATAGATATGGAGGCGACTAGGGAGTTGCAGAGAGAGAGAGATGGAGGCAAGTTCAAAATTGAGAACAAGAATAGAGATGATGAGAACAAAAATAGATATGGAGGTGATTAGGGAGTTGCAGAGAGAGAGATGGAGGCGATTAGGGAGTTGAGACCGAGAATAGAGATGGAGGCGATTGGGGAGGCTGAAAGAAACCTAGGGCTCTCGGATGAGTGAGATTGGTAAATTAAGGAAATAAAAAAGTGAAATAAATATTAGAGCGGCAAATTTTCCCGCACTAAATTTCGCACTTACCGGCGCTTTTTAAGAAACCGCCGGCTAAAACATACCAATACGAGCGCTTTTTCACCAAGCGCTGGTATAAACATACCTATACCAGCACTTTTTGGCCAAGCGCTAGTATAAACATACCCACCAACGCTTTAATAGAAACGCTAGTAATTAGTACACAGCACCAAAAAGTGCTGGTAAATCCCTAATTTGTTGTAGTGACACTATAAATCACATATGTATATATATACATATACATATATATACTGCAATACCATTACAAAATCAATTCTCTTTAAAATACCCTTTGATTTGGAGGACAATACCCAATCCTTTGATTTAGAGGACAATACCCAACACTTTCTTGCTCTATAAAATATATCATTCCTCCCCCCCCCCCCCCCCCCCCCCCCCTCCGTTCTTTTTCTAAACCCATCTCCTCTCTAAGTTGGTAGAAAATGCAAGGGTCGGATACCTTCAAGCTACCCCTCCATCTTTCTCTCCAAGCTCATAACTCTTGCCTATCTATCTCTACAAATTCATCTCTTTTTTAAAAAACCAGTAGCACACATTGAAACACCTTAATTTACAAACTAGAAGCACACATTTAGAATATGTGATATCATTTAGAATACTCACTATTTGCATTCCAAAATATAAATCATATTCTTTTGTTCGGTATTCTTAATTGTTAGCATATTCTTGTTTATGCATCCTACTCATAACTTGGAACCCACGTCAATGTATAGCATCTGACAAAATATTTTAAGCAGAAAGGAGAAAATAAAGGTCTATGATTATATACTTAAAACCTTCTACAAATTGATGCAAGGACCATGTGATAATGTCAAAGTTGATAATCCAATTTTCACACAATACTTGTCGAACATCAACTAGTTCAACATACAAAACTGTGGATAAGGAATTAAATAATTTTTAAAATATAAGTTAGAGAGCCTATGTGGGTTGGCTAAATGTAAAGAGAGAAAAATAAAAGGAAAAGAGTGAAACAATTTGGAAAATGAGAACGACACAATCCTGAATATAGACCCAACTCAATCTATTTCATTGATGATACTTGGGTAAATACCAACTCATTTAACCAAAAGTTCTTATACACAATGAGGTTGCAAATGAGTTGCTTATTTTAAAATAAACATTGATCATGAATGTAAACCAAACTTAAAATGCGATGAATGAAAACCAAACTCCATCCACAACAATATCCCGACCTTTGATCCATTTATGCACAATAATAAAAAATAAAAATAAAAATAAAAAAATGATCACTTAAGGCACGTGACCCCCTATACACCGCAAAATTGGTCTCTTAAAGGCACGTGACCCCCTCAAGCATGAGTAAAAAACATTAAAAATGTGCAATCATAAAGCATTCTCATTCTCTCTATAATTCACAAAAAGTAACATAATTTTACACTATAATTCACAAAAAAAATAAAAAGTAACATAATTTTACACTCTATAAAACTGTTATCTTATGGCTGCATTGAGGAAACTTCTTACCACCCAATTTATCACTATGGAATAAGATATCACTATACCACAAAGTATTTGATTTTAAAAAAATTGAGTAAAGTGTGTGTGTGTATATATATATATACATACATAGAGAGAGATGTTAGAACCCTAGAAAGTGGGTCAAGATAAGCATAAAGTTGAAAAACGAGGAAACATCTACTTCCACCAACATTTATGATAATTGAAAAAAAGGACAACAGAGGGTGGGTGATGGCCCTTCCTTTCCACAATTCAAATCTCTCTTTAGTTTAATATATGGTATCTTTTGTAGTTGAATTCAAAAATTAGAAGATAAAATAAAACAGATATGGTGCACGAATGAAGTTATTAGAAATTACTTTCAAAAGTTAAAACGTACGAGATAATATGACGGATAATAAAAAGAGATCCAAAATTCCCTTAACTTGTAGGTTTTGTAGACAATCTTCCTTTTAAATTTTTTTTTTCTACTAAAGGGGTTGTTTTTTGATTTGTTGTTAAAAATATCCCCTGAATTGCATAAAACACTCTTGACTTGGTAAAAGTATTTTAGTAAAATAAAACACTTACTTAGATGAAATTTTTTGACAACAAAAAAATAAAAATAAAAAGAAATTTATTACAAAACGCTATGAGTCTAACACGGAGTTTAATGCAATTCATCCTAAAAATAAATTAGTGTAATGCTAACGTTGATTTTTGCTCTAACGTATGAGTTTGTAACTTTTTGTATTACTAGGTTGTTAGAGCCACAAACCAGATCGATCTATGATGTGGCCCAGTGCTTTTTCTCTCATCCCATACAAACCTAAGTAGGTTTTCTAGTGTAGTACTGTCACATATGTACTTAATTCTTTATATTAGATTGTCACACATATACATATAAAAAGATGTTTTAATTTATATACATTTACCAAGAGGAGGTCCACTTTTTCTACTAGTGATGGCTTTGGAGTTTGAGAAGCTTACCCCACAGTGAAGTGGATTCTACTAAAAAATTTCAGTCTTATATTTTAAAATAATAATAATTTTTTTTTTTTTTTTTTTGTATGGCAAAAAACAAAATCATATATATATATATATATATATTAACAAATGAAGAGATCAAAGAAATTTTCACACTTTGAACAGCCAACAAATGAGTGTTTGTAGACTATTCCATCTTTATACTTTTCTTTTGGTACAGATAAGATCAAGAATCTACGACAGAGAGGGTCACTATCTCACTCGATTGTTGCTCATATATGCATATGCTGTAAGTTGAATAATTACCACACAATTCTTTTCTTTTGGTACAGATGAGGTTTTAGCAGTACTTGATACCTTTGTGTATACAATCGTTAAATAAAATCAAAAACCAAGTCTATCATTTCTATTCTAATTGGACCAACAACACCAACAGGACTTTCCCTTCTTAGAAACAGAGAGATGATTGTGTGCAATATATATGATTGATAAAATATTCAATTGAAGAAAATATATATATGTTGTTGCTTGTTTTCTATATATGTTGTTGCTCTGCAAAGTAGGCAGAAGCACAAGTTTGCAAACAAGAGCAATCACTTTATGCAAGCAATGGCAAACTTTTAGTCCATACATAGCCTATCCCTACCAGCACATTGCATTGGCGGGGTTAATTCTAGATAATGTCCTCATTCCCTTTGTTGATTTGCCTATTGTCTTTAAATAGAATTTTTTAATTGTTCATTTTTTGGTTTCATCGGATGCAAGGGTCCAGCAGTGGAAATCTTTTTTTAAAAAAAATTAAGCTGTTGATTTTGGTAATTATCTTTCTAGATGAATAAAGAAGATTCAAGATATCTGATCATGTATAGAAAGTATATTTCTAAGCTTTAGTGGATTATAACTTCCCAGAAAATATTAAGAGGTTAACCTGCTTTGGTGCTAGGGATGGAGAGGTTGATCTTAGTTTTGATAGTTTAGATTCTAGTTTGTATAGTTTTGTCTGGTTTGGGTATCATTCTCATTAAACTAGGGGTAAACCCTCCTTAAATCCCCAAAAAAAATTATTAGTAGTGGCATAAGTAGTAAAACCCACAACAACAGCAACAGAACAAACATTGCTGGAATTTAACAAATCAGACCCTTTTTTTTTAGGTAAAATTTCAGACCCATTAAAGAAGTGCATAAACGGAAAGACAAGGAAAAAGCAAATCACATGTTTTTATGTACCTGTCTCTGCAGAAATACCCTCTTCGGTGGCTTTCCTCTTATTTTCTCTGTCATTTGTGATTAATAAGACCCATGTTGCACCACCAAGATGGTTATGATACCACTGAGTTACCACTCGAATTGCTGAACTTCCAATTCATCAATGTCAGAAGAAGGAAATCTACAATTGCATGTTCTTACACTAAAAACAGGAATAAGTACCACAATTACAGTAAAGTGTGCTTAAAAAAATGGTTCATAATTTCAATATATATAGTATTCATGTTAAAATCCCACCATGTTGTAAGACATCCCCATATATGATTACAATTACAAGACAACGTAAACACATGCAAAGTGAAATAAGACACCATATGCTCCCCATTTTTGGATAAAACAACTGAACACCATTTAAAAGTAGCTTTTAAGACATCATTACACTAGCATTGTTTATAAAATGCAATCAGATTGGAGGGTGCATATATAAATGAATCAAGCCAAGAACATATTGCCAGTGGTAAACTAGCCATCAAAAGCAAAAGCACATTGAAAATAACATCCAGTTTACATGGTATTCTAAATACGAACGTATTGTATAAAAACAACATTAATTAAAATTACCTTTTGAAAAATATATTTAATTAAAATTATAAAAGAACTTCCATGGGTATCTTCATTTTTGGACCCAAACTATCTTTTGACTTGTCTTAAATATAAGAAGACTACCTACAGGACCATTGCTTCCTTAAATTGTTGAAAAGAAATTGAAAGAATTCAAACATCGTGATGAAAATGATGAAAATTAAGAGATGACTCACCTGTGATGTTCGTTAGAGGAAACAAAGAACTTCCTCGTAGAATTGCTGCACAGGGCTCTAACTCTGTTATAAACCGAAAGATTCTTGTTCTTGACCTCTTACAGCACAACCGCTAACATAACAACATCATCAATTGCCGAATTCTCAAGCAAATCAATCTGAGAACACGGACAGTGAAAACCAAACCAAAGTTCTAGTTATACATATATGTGTGTGTGTGTATATATAATTGGTGCAATGTAAAACAAGAACTTGTGAAATGACCTGATTGAGAACAACATTGGTTCTGTATATGGTAGATGTAAACAAACTAATGTTAATTCGTTCAATCTATTTACACACACACATACATATATGTGTGTACGAATATGTGTGTTTCAGTGTGTGCGAATATGTGTGTTTTAGTGTGTGCTAATATATGTGTGAAAAAGGAAGCGAGAGGAAGGAATTGAACAGAGAAAAGTTAGGCTTTGCTTACTGATCAGACAAAGGATCGCTTCTTTATAGGAATTGTTGTCTCTGGATTTAGGATTTTGTTTATAAGCCGTGCGTTATCATTTAGAGCTTGGGGTCCCTTCTATGGTGACCGAAGACAGAGACGACGATGTTGACCAGAGACAGAGATGACGATGGTGACCGGAGACAGAGACGACGATGGAAAGCCTGGCCGTTTGTAGCGAGATGTACACAAGAAGATTTTTTTGTGTTAGGGCTTATCAAAGAGGGAAAGTGTTCGTGTTTGTGTGAAGATGTGTTGTGTTACTTAAGATTTTTTTTTTTTTTTTATTTTCGTCAATTACTAGCGGGAATAATTCCCGCCTGTGGAGGGGGGGAAAATTTCACTTTCTACCTTGTGTTACTGAAAGATTTTTTTTTTTTTTTTTTTCATCAATTACTGGCGGGAATAATTCCCACCAATGGAGGGGTAAATTTTTTCACTAACCATGATAGAATATAATTTCTGTTACGGTTCCAAATTGTTCCTGTAACATCGTGGTAGAAAGTAATCTTTTAATCATGATTTTAAAGGAACCCTGATAGAACGCAGGGTCGGCCCTGGGATCTCCAAAATTTTGAAAGGTCTAAGGTGAATTTTCAAATGTGAGGCCCTTTATAAAGTTTCACACGCACAAAAAAATTATAAGAATGCGAAATTTTTATTAAAATAAGACAATAAAGACATAAAATATATTAATATTGAAAACACACAAAACAAAACCCGGTCTTGGTATTTTATAAAAAACACGATCCAATTTATATTAAAATAATTAAAAAAAATATTCAACACAACTTAGTCAGAAAAATCAAAATTCAACTTCATATCAAAGTAAATGCGACTGTTTTACATTTTGAGTTACAAAATTATCAATTAAAGTATTCCAATTAAATTTTTTCAACATATATTTTTCAATATATATCATAGTCAATCCATTTAATGTCTCTTATGACATCGTTAATCGTAGGTAAGATTTGATCAACTTTAACTTTGAAAATTTCTCCTAGCAGATGCAACTGTAATTGGGATAGTCAATAGTACTCTATATGCAATCCAAGCATTAAGAAAATAATTACTTTACCTTTTTATAAAATAAAATACTTTAATTGCCTTTTTTTTTTTTTTTTTCCTCTCTGTAAAGTTTCTCTTAAGACTTGTAACTCTAAAAATAATTTTGTCTCGTCAATATCAGAAACCATTTCATATTAATGTCTAGTTGATGTAATTTATCAAAAATTAACAAAAAATAAGTTACAAATTGACCAAGTGAAAGATCAAGAACGCAGATGTCTGAAATGGAAAGTCACCAAGTGGCCTAGCGGTATCAGCCTCTTATCTCCCGAAGGGACGTTAGGGATTCAAGTCTTAAAAGAGATATGTGTGTGTGGGTAGCAACTAGGAAAAAAAAATGGAAAGTCAATCAATCTATATGTGTGTTAATATTCTAAAAATTAGGAGAATTTTATAATCCAAACATGGCTAATGATGATGATAATGATCCATTAAGGGCGGTTACTCTACCTGCACCCAGGTAGGTAGGGTGACCCGAGCCGCAATGAGAATATTGCGAGTTTGGGTAGGGAAAAATGTAACAAGGGTCATTTATTGTGATACCACTTAATTTCAGAACACGGGTTGATCAATCCGCGCACAAAATTAAGGGATATCAAAACAATTAAAGTATTTAAACAAGCACAGATTACAAAATGAAATAAATAATACGCTAAAGAAAACTAATAAATAATAAATCCATTAATAACTCTCCAATGGTTACAACTCGGGAATCCCGTAACTCAATGACCCCTTAACCAAAAGTCACTATTCAGAATTTCAAAAATAAATACTAATGTCAAATAAAGAAATAATATCCTACTTTGAAATAAATTGAAAGAATAGATAAGTCCTCAGCTGCGGATCCTCAACCTTGAGACTTGGACCTCTAGTAACCTGAAAGATAAAAATAAAGTGGGTCAAGTATACATATACCCATATATTATACAATATATATATATATGTATAATACCTTCAATAATAATCATTGATTATTTAAAACCATATATATATATATATATATATATATATATATATATATATATATATACACACACACACACACACACACACATATATATATATATAAAATTAAGTATATATATAACTCCTTCCATCACCAAACTACTAATTAATGATATTTACGCAAATTAAATGTTACTAAATATCGTCATAAATGGTTTTCCAAAAATACTCCATATCAGTTTAAATAATTTTCTAACACCATCTCACTAAAATGTAAATATCTCTTAGTAAATCTGAGAATGAAATTGATAACATTGAAAAGAGGACGAAAAATTCTTAAATTTGAGCTCAAGAATGACCCGATTTCGATTTAAGATGACTGAGTTATGACCGTTTAAATTTTGAGAAACAAAACAGTCAAAAATAATAGGTTGAGCCCAATCGCTACTATGAGCGCGACCACACCAAATAATTTATTTGCTAACCAGAACAAGTCAACGGTCCAGATCTGAGTGTGCACCACTCTCCATGGTCTGCGCTACACCAGATCAATTCCTTATTAACCAGACCACTTTTATGGTCCAGATGACCATGAACACCAAAATCCCATACACTGCACCACAGTTAATCATCCATCCCTCATCATCACCATCCAAGGGTCAAGATCTGCGTGTTTACACTATTACCTATGCCACGCCACACTAGATCAATTCCTAAAATTCTTAAACCCTAAATAATCCTCTTGGGTCACAGATCAAACATATACTTAATTTTAAATATATACAACCTATATATATAATTAAAATTTAACAATTCCAAAAATAAAAATAATAATAAAACATGTTTTTAATACTCCGATTTAATTCTGATTTAATCAAATAAAATTAATCTAAACACTAATACTCAAGGTGAAATCTTTATGAATTCTAAGAGTAGAGTTAGAAAAGAATTTGCCTAAAGGTTTCGAAACGAAACTGACGCTTCAAGCTTTAATTGTCTCTTCCAAATTTGACGTCCACTTTCTCAGATCCGGCCTCCTTCTTGTCAGCCTTCTCTTCTTCTCTCATTACCTCTTTTATTCGTGTAAACTTTTAACCCTCAAACCTTATGTGTATATTTATACACATTAAAATCCAAATCATATTCCTACTAGGACTACCAAATAAAAGAAATACTAATTATCTTAAATAATATATATACACATATATTATATATTATATATGTATATTTCCTTTCATGATAATCCTTAACTAATTAAATTACACACACACACACACACACACACACACACACACACATATATATATATATATATATATATATATATATTTCCTTCCATAATAATAATTAATTAATTAATTATATTTATATACATATAATTATATATATATAATTATGCAAAGATAATTAATTCAATATCTTTATAACCATGGGCCCTTACTAATTAACCCAACAAGGCTTCTTTTAAGCTCAAGACCACATCCATTGGTCACATTCCTTTTAAGCCTAATCCAATTAAAATAAAATAATTAAATTAAATATGATAATTACAAATAATTAACAAACAATTCACGCAAATATAAATACACATAAATCAAATATACAATTTAATCATAACATTACACAAAGCAAAACACCATATCAGTTCAACAAATATATTAACGAAATATAATCTAATTAAAATAAGATAATTAATCTAAGCACTCAATTAAATAAAACAAATCATTTTAAAAATAAAAATAAAAAAATAATAATTAATCCCAATTAATAAATCATTTGTATTTATATATTCTCTTATTTAAATTTAAATGTGAATTATACAAATTACCCCTTAACTTTATTATTAGAATTAATTTATCATTAAAAAAAAAAAATTATAACTACCATTTTATAAAATGATTAACTTATTATTAGAACATTGGGGCATTTTTGGCAATAGGTGGTATTAGGCACAAAATATAATTCAAGGGGGTTATTTACAAATTCAATCATAGTTCAGGGAGTTTTTTGCACTTTACCATATATTTATATATATACACACACTTTTATATATTAAAAACATACCTTATGATAAGTTTTAATTTTTTTTATTATTTCTCAAACAAGTATATGGTGACAGAAGGCTAATTTGTGACAAGAATTTACTCTTTTGTGATGAAATATCTTTTGTCGTTAAAAGATAGAAATTGGCGACAAATAATTTGTCACAAAAAGTCTATTAATTGTGACAAAGCTATATTTATCACAATAACTTAACCTTTCGCGACAATGCATCTTTTGTCACTGGAAGGTTGTTTGTAGCGACAATAATTTTTGTCGCTAAAATGCTATCAATTGTGACAAAGCTATATTTGTCACAATAACTAAACCTTTCGCGACAATGCATCATTTGTCACTAGAAGGTTGTTTGTAGCGACAACAATTTTTGTCGCTAAAATGCCACCAATTGTGACAAAGCTATATTTGTCATAATAACTCAACCTTTCGCAACAATGTAACATTTGTCTCTAAAATGCCACCAATTGTGACAAAGCTATATTTATCACAATATCTCAACCTTTCGCGATAATGCATCATTTGTCACTAGAAGGTTGTTTGTAGCGACAACAATTTTTGTCGCTAAAATGCCACCAATTGTGACAAAGCTATATTTGTCACAATAATTCAACCTTTCGCGACAATGCATCATTTGTCACTAGAAGGTTGTCTGTAGTGACAACAATTTTTGTCGCTAAAATGCCACCAATTGTAACAAAACTGTATTTGTCACAATAACTCAACCTTTCGCGACAATGCATCATTTGTCACTAGAATGTTGTTTGTAGCGATAACAATTTTTGTCGCTAAAATGCCACCAATTGTGACAAAGCTGTATTTGTCATAATAACTTAACCTTTCGCGACAATGCACCATTTATCACTAGAAGGTTGTTTGTAGCGAAAACAATTTTTGTCGCTAAAATGCCACCAATTGTGACAAAGCTGTATTTGTCACAATAACTCAACCTTTCGCAACAATGCATCATTTGTCACTAAAAGGTTGTTTGTAGCGATAACAATTTTTGTCGCTAAAATGCCACCAATTGTGACAAAGCTGTATTTGTCATAATAACTCAACCTTTTGCGACAATGCATCATTTGTCACTAGAAGGTTGTTTGTAGCGACAACAATTTTTGTCGCTAAAATGCCACCAATTGTGACAAAGCTGTATTTGTCACTAAAAACTAGTTAATCGCGACAAAGCTATATTTGTCACTATATTG